GCTCGGGCTCTTATCTCCCCAACAACAGCGGCGAGAAGTTATCGCGCTGCAAGGGGCTCGAGTTACCCTTTAACACCCAGCCAGAACGGGAACGGGAACGGAAAAACACCCGAGAGCAGCTGCAGAGGACACAGGAGGGACACAGGGAGGGAGGGGACACCGTTGCAGGGGACACGAGTGACACGGGATGGAGAGTGGCACCTTTCCTGCACGGATCACACCCGGACAGCAGCTCTAACACCACTTTAATTTCAGTGCCCAAACCCCAGCCAGAGACAAACCATGAACCAGTGACAGCAGAGAATCCCATTTCTGACTGCTCAGTGCACATCCCAAATTCCCTTTATTGGGATTTACTCTCCCACTTGTGTGAYCTTTGGATTTAAACCCCACAAGCCCCTCCCAAGTCTCCTCTGCTGGGTGCTGGGATGCTGCCCGGGGTGTCACAGCCACGGTGACAGAATCTTGAGCAGCTGCAAGAATTGAGGGTGCAGCATCAATGCTGGGCTGGAAAAATGCCCAGGATGTTCCTCCAGCAGCAGAATCCCCGTGTCACGGTCAGGAAATGTCCCTGARTGTGCTCAACAGGGAACTGGGAGCTCTGGGRCCTGCACAGCATCACCTTTTCTCTGTTTTAAGGCCACGTTCATTATGTAAATGACATTTAAATCCTCTTGACTCGTGAAAAATGGAGTCACACGTTCCCAGTACACAACCAAGGACCGGAACAGGGCACTGAACCCCCCTCAGCCCCCAAATCTCCAAGGTTTTAACACAATCGTGGGGGGACCTGACTGCAGGGGGGGCTGGGTTGTGTCCCTCCACCCACACTGAGCCCAGACTGCCAAATCAAGGTCAGGAATTTAAAGGGAATAGTTAAAAATGGATCATCTTTGGGAGGGGACATTTGGGGTTCAGCCAGGCTCAGTGCCCCCACTCTTTCCCTCAGGTTTTGCAGGATTTGATGCTCCTCCAGGGAGGATTTTTGGGACAAACCAGAGAGAGCTGGATCTGCTCCTGGGCAGCCTGAGGAGCAGCTGAGGGCAGGAGCAGCAGGGAGAACACTCAGTCCTAATTCTGCTCCACTTCTTCTCCRTTGGTGACTTTGCCAAACAGCGACCGATAAAGCTCCGTCCTGGAGAAAAAAAAAAAGATGGAGAGGGAAAAGTTACTCTTCAAGGTCAAAATGGAAAAAAGAAGCTGCCACAAACCTTTCACTCCTTCAAACAGAAAGGCCTTGAGTAATTAAAAATCTTYATTAATAAACACAGGTAGAGTGAGGAAGTGGTGTGAGCCCAGTCCCAGGCAGGACAGAAATATGGAAATATTTCAGTGTGGCTGGATATTGGATCTCCAGAGAATGAGGGTTTCTATAAGTTTGCCCTTTCCAGACAGGCTCTTCAAGGAAGAAAACAAGATTGAATATTTTAATAGGATGTACGAGGCCGTGAGGAGGATTCAATCACACAGCCAACGTGGGGCTGTAATTTAGTTTTCATACATTTTCTTGGACAGTACTTGAAAAACAATGAAAATGACCTGGCAACAAGATTCCAATTAATATCCCATGTGCAGCAATTCTGATAACAGGAGCAAATTTCCCTTTAAAAAAAAAAAAAAAAAGAGAAAAAGAAGAGGGGCTGGTGTTATTTGTCTTTAATTTTAGGAGCAGGGAACGTGAGCTGGGGGAAAGGAGGGATTCTTATAAACCTTTCTGGGCATGGAGGGAAGAGCTGGATTTGCTCTACAGTTCCTAAAGTCTCTTGGCAGGGGCTGCACGTGTGGAGGGCAGTGTGGATGGGATTTTCACTTCCCAAAACAGCAATGTTTGGGTTTGTCCCT